CATAACTTTCATAATGGCTCTGAGGCCAAAAGAAAAATAAAGATTAGGGGTGGGGACAGGTGGAGTACAAAATCAGAGGAATGTACTAAAAACATTTCTGTTATAAAGTTTGGGCTGGAGCCTCTCAGCCCCTCATCATAATATTTTTTTTTTTACTTAAATGATTATGATTTAACTTAACCAACAAAATGGGCAACATAGTGGCCAATGTTAAAATAAAAGATTATACTGAAACGGAAGCAATCCCAAAGTGGAAACAAATGCGAAAAAATGATTTTCTAGTATATATATGTATAACTAAGAACTCCTTTTTGAGAAAATGGTTGGACACCACTTGTATGTACATGGTCAAAAACTATGTTTATGAAAATCACAGAATTATTTTCTATGAAACACATAATCAATGCCACTTTCAAATTCATCAATACAGAATGATAAAAAAAGAATCAACACTTAAGGGATATTAAATGGCACTTTGTTTTGTCAAAATAGCAAAATTTAAGATGATTCAAATATATAGGAATTCCCTCCCACCCCCGTTATTGTTTATCTGTATATCTGCATTTTTCCCAAACCAATAAGCAAGCCTATCAAAGCTAAGTTGAAAATAGCTTGGTAGTTGTACAGGCTGACAAGAATTTCTGAAAATCTGCATTAATGGAAGATTCTCTGTTGACAGTTCTCTTCTTCAGGCAGCTTAAAATTGTTTTATTGAGACCTGAACAGTCTTTAAGATATTAATTGATTAAACCAAGAAAGAAAATGTCCTTATCAATTTACTTGCCATAAATAGAGATTAACAAAAGAATTTTAAAAAAAACCAATTGGACGGAAATGTAGGGTACAAGGTTTTTAAGTGTAATGCTGGTGTAATTTCGATATAACTAATACATTCATTAGTTTTAAAACAAAATAAAGAGGAAAAACATCCTGTTGAAATTGGTATGCAAAGACATCGGTCACAATATAGAATCAATGTTAGTTTTTATAAAAATGAATTTCCTCACATCAAAACATTAATGGCCATTAATATTAATATTTGAGATATAAAATGTTCTTTACTTCCACAAAATGAATTTTATCTGTTAAATAGAGGAGTCCAAAGATAAGTTAAAAGTTTAAAGGGCTGTTCTCATGCAATCTTCCATTTCTATCACTTGTGAACTCAACAAATTCTTTTCAATAGGTTCTTCAAAATATTTGCACTAACTTGGAAGGTTTCAGTAATAATTAAATATGATGTATAAACAAATTGGAAGATGGATATACGTAACTCAACTCGTAATAAATTAGTTCAACTCATTAAATAAAATGCTCCGCTGGGGAGCAGCTTCATACGACCGCAGAGGTCGAACCCTGAACAGTTGGGGCAAGTATGGACACAACATTTAAGCTTGATACAGCACTGAATTTGGATTGTAATTAAATATTTGACACAGCATAGGTTTCTGACATAGAATGAATGTGGTCTAAGAACTTAAAAATTTTTAATTTATCTATTCAAACCATATCATTATTATTTGCTTTTGTATATAAATCAGAAATAACCAATTTAAAATGGAAAAGTCTGTTAAAGTGTGTTTTCTTCAACTTTCCATCCGAATGTATTATGTTTATAGTACCCTTGTACTTATAAATTTTCTCTATCTTTTTAAACTTTGAACTTGTTCAATCTAACATTCTTCTTTATTAGTATGTTATTTAAATTTTTTAGGTCATATCTTTTTATCCATTATTCATTGCAATCAGAACATTTGCTTATCTATCTGCAAGTAGATCTTTTTTTTATATCTATATGCAAGTAGATATTTTTTTTTTTATATTTATTATGCAAGTAGATTTTTAATGCATGATAATTAACACATTCAAACTGTGATCATGGGTCATAGTTATTATATTAATTTCAATTTAAGCCTTGAAAGGAAGTATAGACCCCTCAAATAATTTTCAAATTATTATTTTTTTATTTGTCCTAAGACATTTAAAATCATTTAATTACCATCCTTTTATGATTATTTGTTCAATCTATATTTTATTTATATTCTTTTAAAAATTTACATTATTTAAAGGAAAATAACTTAAAACTGGATAAATCAAGGGAAGTAACCCAACATTCATTTTAAATACACAAAGTTTTATTACTCAACGGCAGTTAGCCTGAGGTAAAAATCGTTGATTACCAGTATGTTTGACACCCAAGGTGACAAGTGAAGCCATATAATTATGCATGTTAATTGATTTACAGGTAAAATATAACTTCAGGTAATGTCAGTTGCACCAGATATGTTGGGCTGAAATTTTTCATTCATGAAATATTTCATACACGCAAGGATTTGTATAGTATCACTATACAAATCCTTGATACACGGGATTTTTTTGTCTTCAACGGGAGGTCGGGAGGAGACCCCTGAAAACTGGATTATTGTACTCCCGTTGGGAGGTTCATATGTATGAGTACAATTTCAGAGAGATCCATACACTTGAACACAAGTTATTGTCTGGAAACTAGAAAAAAATGCTTGTTTTTTGGCCCCTTTTTGGCCCCAAATTCCTGAACATTTAGGGCAATTACCCCCAATCTCAAACCCAGCTTTCCCTTTGTGATATGGAACCTTGCAGTACAATTTCATAAAGATCCATACACTTACACACAAGTTATTGTCCTGAAACTAGAAAAATGCTTGTTTTTTTTGCCCCTTTATGGCCCCTAATTCCTCAAATTTCTAGGGAATTACCCCCAAAATCAATCCCAGCCTTCCCTTTGTGGTATGGTACCTTGCAGTACAATTTCAGAGAGATCCATACACTTGAACACAAGTTATTGTCTGGGAAACTAGAAAAATGCTTATTTTTGGCCCCTTTTTGGCCCCTTATTCCTAAACGTTGTGGGCAATTACCCCCAAAATCAATTCCAACTTTCCCTTTGTGATATGGAACCTTGTAGTACAATTTCATAAAGATCCATACACTTACACACAAGTTATTGTCATGAAACTAGAAAAATGCTTGTTTTTTGCCCCTTTTTTGCCCCTAATTCCTAAAATTTGGAGGCAATTACCCCCAAAATCAATCCCAGCATTCCCTTTGTGATATGGAACCTTGTGGTACAATGTCAGAGAGATCCATACACTTACACACAAGTTATTGTCCTGAAACTAGAAAACTGCTTGTTTTTTGCCCCTTTTTGGCCCCTAATTCCTAAAATTTGGAGGCAATTACCCCCAAAATCAATCCCAGCATTCCCTTTGTGATATGGAACCTTGTGGTACAATGTCAGAGAGATCCATACACTAACACACAAGTTATGTCTGGAAGTTACAAAAATGCTTATTTTTGGCCCTAATTCCTTAACTGTTGGTACCATAACCCCCAAAATCAATCCCAACCTGCCTTTTGTGGTATTGAACCTTGTGGTAAAATTTCATAGAGATCCATTCACTTAAACTAAAGTTAGAGTGCGAAACCAATGTGTCTTCGAACGAAAAAGACCGACGACGACGACGCCAACGTCATACCAATATACGACCACAAAATTTTTTTGCGGTCGTATAAAAAATTACAATTTAAAGATTTTGTTTTAGCTGTCGACTTTTCAAACCTCTAAAGTGGATGATCTCACTCTGGGGTAAAATGTTCAGAGGGAGATATCACATAGAACTTATGTCTCTTTGTTTATGATTTTGTTTTCTTACTTAACTTTTACAGTGAAAATCCAATTTTTCAGTTTAAAAAAACACACTAGGTGGCTTATATCAATTAAACAGCTTTTTATAAAGAAATAATGCAGAAAAAAGGGGAATGATGAGAAAAATTTCCAAATAATAACAAAAATATATCGAAGTTTCTAGCGATATCTGGAGAATTGACAATTTTGTGATTGAATGTTACTTTCTAATCCAAGTGGAAAATAACATGATAAAAATTTGACCTCATTTTCCCTATGTACTGCCGAGCTCAAGTGTCATTTCATACCAAAACATGAGTATGTACTTAAAACTAGAAAAGTAAAACTGTTGTTTTATCATGGATAACCAATAAAAAAGGAAAAACAAAAACCCTTACATATTCTAGCATTGTTTTGGTCATTGTATCAGTATACTATATATGAAAGATAGCCTGTATAGATTTCCATTTTCCATGAAAATGAACATGAAAAAACAATTCTGTACTCCTATAAATGAAGCAATTCACATACAACAATTTCTATGATAATGGGTTTATATTCTTAAAATGTTTTGTATTCATTATGAAAGCGATCAGATGGATCTTGGGCATTGTATTTATTACTTGTGTAATGAGACTTTATAAAGGAAGATGACATTTATTAATTTTCCTAACAGGGTTCCATGGAATAATTAGAGATTAACACATGATCTGGGTAAAAGGTTTTGAAAGATTATGGACAGAGAACTGCAGCCAGCATTCGTCTATGCAATTGTTTTTTTATTATCACCTTTATTTTGGATTCCAACATAACTTGTATTTTGTTAATTTTATCTATTATACCTGAACACACTTCTGTACTTTGAGTTAAAGTGCACTTATTTATTGTGAAAACTATTTCTGTATATTGTTCTCCCTCCTAATGGATACAAAATCAGCAAATGAACTGAAAACAACAAATTTAAGAGCTCATGTTTCACAGCAAATTAAAAAATAAGAAAGAAATTCAGTTATTTCACAGAATTAGCAAAATTGTCTTCCTACACAAAATGTCCAATATAAATTTGTTCTCTTCATTAGCAAAATATCTGAGACAAAATAAAATTCAGTGCATACTACAAAAATACAAATAGAATGTCAAGAATAAAACATAATCTTCTTACCGAGTAGATATCTAGGGTTCAATACAGACTTGTAAATTAGAATATAGCATTAAGGAAAATAAATTGTATATGAAGGAGGCACATTAATATGCATCAAGTCAACCTAGACTTCTCTAATGACTTTCTCTTTTTGTCATACAGAACCTATAAAAGTCTTCTTTTTATTCATTGCAGATTACAAGACCTGAAAAGACTACTACAATCCGAACAGAGAGTGGTAATTGACCTGTCGTTCAACGCACAACAATCAAATATGGAAGAAATAAACCTTTCATCAGTTTTGGAATCCTACATGACAAGGACACATGGATTTCAATAATACTCAGTCAAGATCTGATCATTTATTTACATCTTTTCGTTGTTGTTGACTGTATGATAAAAAATCTTTTATTTTTGTACATGTCTCATTTGTAATATATCTGTGATTTAGCAAGTGACAACTGGACAATATAAATATATTGACAATCAAACATATTAAAGGAAAAAACAGGAAATAATTCTCAAAACATATAATCAATCATGGAGAGTTTGAATGGTTCTGGACAAAATTTTACAGAGCAAATAGTGATAAACAATGAATTTGTAGTATTCAGCGAGAAGTATTCACAGTACCATGGGTACATTAGCAGTTTTATCTGCTTCTTTGGAGTAGTGTCAAACATTCTGAACATAATTGTTCTAACAAGGAAACACATGATCTCTCCAACAAATTTAATCCTTACAGCCTTAGCATTGGCGGACGTCATGACAATGTCCGTGTATTTTGTATATGCTTTGTATTTATATGTCTTCACTCTTCCACGTGAATTATATGGACATTCAAAGGGATGGATGTATTTTGTTGTGGTGAATAATCTGGTTGTAATTACCTGCCATAATATGGCTATGTGGCTAACCGTTTCCTTGGCAGTTTTTCGGTATATCTTTGTTTGTCATCATGTGGTGGCAAATCAGCTATGCAGTTTAGAAAGAGCAAAATTGACAATAGGTATTGTGGTCGTGGTAACAATTTTACTGTGCATACCAAACTATTTCATGTACAGAGTGTATGAACTGGCCGAATATCAACCGAACTATACAGGGTACTGGATTGATTTGAGTTTGTTTGCTCAAAACCATTCATTATATCAACCAATAACATTTTGGATATACGGAGTCATCATCAAAATTGCTCCATGTGTCTTACTGACGATTCTGAGTGCATGTATCATTTGTGCAATGCATGAAGCCAGTAAAAGACGTCAGCGCTTGTTACAGCAAGCTGGAAGACACAACGAAGAAACGTCTGCTGAACATAATAGGACAACCATGATGCTTGTTGCTGTTGTGCTTTTCTTTGTAATTACAGAATTCCCACAAGGAATTTTAGCAGGAATTAGTGGCTTGAATCAAAACTTCTTTGAGACAGTATATTCCTATTTAGGAGATATAATGGATCTTTTAGTGCTTCTGAACAGTGCAATTAATTTTATTCTGTATTGTATTATGAGTCAACAGTTTCGTGACACATTTACCAATCTGTTTGTTTGTAATTTCATATCTTTACGGAATCAACACTCAGCCAAACAAAATGGAATGGCTTATAGTACAGTTAAAACTGAAGTAACTCAAGTTTAATAAAATATTTGGATATTCAAAACATTTTAAGTTTTGCTGTTAAACTGTTTTCCTGAAATATGTCTTTCATACTTATTTTTTTTTATTACATTCAATCATGTAGCCTGTTTATTATATACCATGTAAATTATTTTTTTCTTTGTCATATGATGCTTTTCTAAATTATGTAGTCAACAGATCATTGAAGTTCAACCAGCTTATAAAAAAACTTAACCTCAGCAACTGAATTCATCCATATTTAACTTGAGGAACATATTTAAAGGTATCCAGTATTTCATATATCATATGTAGATAAAATGTCATGCTGCAGAGGTATAACAATGGTCTTTATGCTTTGATAGCTGCCACTGATGTAAAATAGCCATCAATAAGTCACAAATTATAATCACCAATAATTTAGTGTATTAGTTTATATTAATAAAATATGTATGAATAATGTACATCAAGACAATATACACAAATTAACGTGTTCAATACATAATAAATGTTTTCTTTGAAGACAAGTAAATAATTTGGTTTGTTCAAATATTGAAAATATATGTGGCTTTTTTTCATATGAAGTTAAATGACAGAAAAGAAATATTATGTGCATGGCTCATTTAAAAATGGTGATGTTTCATGAATTGTCTTACAGTAAGCAGTTCACATCTGAACAGTACTATGGAACATTATATGTTTTTGGAATCTACGCAAAAGATATGGGCTCATATTCCCCGTCAAGAGTTTTAATTCCTTGAGCTGTCAGACAAAAGGGATATAGGACACTGACGGGGAAAATGAGCAAAAGTGTCCTGATTTCAACATTTTAAATTATCATTCTGATCTTCACTTTTGTTCACAGAGCACATATATCCTGTCAAGGTAACCAATCAAATTGTAAGATTAGCTAGTATGTTTCACTCCAGTATATCATTTTATCTTTATTTCTTGATAAATAACAGAAGACAAATACCTAAATGATGAAATGCTTTATTTCTTGAATTTTTAGCAGAACTATTTAATGACCTCTACAATGATGAAACAAATTGTTGAGACTATATCACTTGGCAGTAGCTTTGTCTGTTATATTTAAATAAGGAGCTAAAATTTACTGGTAATGTGTACCTTGAAAAAAGTCTATTTTAGTAGTTGGCTAGTCAGTGTATCTTTATTTATTAGAATGACTGATTGTTACAGCCAGACAATTCTGAAATGAGTAAGTGGTGCCTTAAGGGCACTATTTGGCCTTATAAATTATATGAATTTCTAAATAATTTGCTAGGTATGTGAATTGTAAGGTTTTGCAAATGTAACACACATTTATTCATATCAAAATTAAAAATATGGAATAATATCATTTAAAAGACTATCGTCAAAAATTGCTTTTTTAATAATGATATATATTTGTAAGGGGAAAGAAACTATTGCATGCATGAACCATGTACATATTTACAAGAGAAATATTGTTCATATAGACAAGCACTGTAGTAAATTACCTAGTTATGCCTCATGCACACTTAAGTATGAAAATCAACCAAAGTCTTCTATTTTTGGAACAAAGTCTAAAAGTTTATATTCATTTGACAACATAACTACATTAATTGTGATGACATGAACTAAGTACACATTATTGCAGCCCCTCCTCCAGGTATACTCTCCCTTTTTCAAAGTAAATATTTTTCTATTAATATAATGTTAATATCAATACTGGCTTTAACCAGACTTTTTTAAAATTAAAATTTCAAAGCACTTACTCCTTTGTTTTCAATCATCAAACAAATTATACCACATTTTATTTTGTCCAATGAAAATAAAACAAGTTTTGTTACTTCTGATGATCTAGTCTAGTCTAATATTTCAATGACAAGAATTTAAAAAAGAATTTGCATTTCCAAGACAGAAATTACTTGTAAGGAATTAAGTAAAACATTCACCTAAAGAAATGTTTCCTTCTCAAAGCCAATTATGATTTTTTTATTTCATTTTTACGCCTACTGAAAAGTGAGTCCATATGACAGACTAAGTGACATCAAGTTTCAATAAGATGACACAGTCAGCATCATTAATCCTTAGAAGTCAAAAGTGAAACGTTAAATCACTTCCTTTTTCCTAAATTACCAACATTTTCTTCTTAAAGGGAAGCAGGAATAGATGATGACAACAAGCATATATAATACAATTTTATTTAACTAGGTTAAATATATTGGCCAACAAAAAGAATTTTTTAATGTAAAATTATACTTTATAAAATTTGTGTTCAGATCACCTTCTTCATTTTAGTGTACATGTACATACTGGTGACTTTCTCACTTTTATTTAAAACTGAAAGTTTTTGGCTTGCTTCTATTAACATATTTTCCTGTAGATAGTTTTCTAACATGAATATATCCGTAATAGGTACATGAACTCAAAACAAAGACTACTTTAACGGGGAACAACCATAGAAGAACCTTATTGTGTTTAAGTGTCAAAGATGTATATATTTTTCTGTATCAGATACTTTAGTACTTGCAGGTGACATTCACAAATAATCACTACCACTATAACCATTCTTTCTGTGGGAACTAACACTATCAATGTAATAATGTGTTAAGAATGCAAAAATGTGGAGTTGTTACACTGGCTGTTAGACCATACCTGCTATAATCTACTGATAATATACTTTTTCATGACAAATATCATTATTGTGTGAGCATTCTTAACATTTTCTAAGTAACAACAATGTTGGACTAGTGGAATCTGTCCATGATACTTGTATAATTATCTGATAAAGACGTTTAGACTTGTAAATGATTCACTTTAATCTGATGATAAACAGCATGCTCTGAAGTAGTCTAGACTTTAGAAGACAGCCAATTTTTTAGGTTTTTTTTTTTAGGGAGGGAGGCAGGGGCTGTACAATATTTTCTAATTGATTTCTTTTTATTAATTAATTTTTTTGTTATTTTGTAATCTTCACATTAGTGGAAATAGATGTAAATTAAAAATTATCTTAGCACATACTATATATATCGCAGGATAATGTTAACCATACAATGGTTTCCATTTAGCTAACATGCTATATAACATCACTAACTATACAGCTGGGAAAATCCAATATTAAATTAAATGACCAGTGATGGCTGGAAAGTTTTTACATTCTGACAAACAGAGCAACCTGACAATGTTACAGTTTGACAGCAGCCATTTAAATGTCACATTAGTGTATCAAAATTAGCTAAGTAAAATACCTTGATCAATTTCTGTCTGTCTACAAACAGATCTCACAAAAAACTTCTTTCTGTTAATTCAATAGTCTTGGATTTTAGTACATCTGGCAAAGAAAAGAAAATGGATAACAGTAACAACAGAAAAACTGTTTTCTTAATGATTAAAACAATGTAGAAGTATACTAAATATTTAATATTCTAATTTTTCACAAATATACTGCAAGATTAATTCCTAGATTGTGATTTGAAATACATAACATGTAGGAATGCGAGTTGCTATTAGAGGATAAACTTTTTTGGACGCAGATTTACTATTGAACTCATGCACAAATATAAATACTTTTCATAAGTTGCTAAATAAAAAACCTATTCTACATATGGAAAACACTTGATAAACTGTTAACCTTAATAAAACCAAATATCAAATTTCAAGCTGAATTAGATTAATTTGCAACATTTTTTAAATATTGAGTTTCAGGTGGAAAATTGTCATTTATAATGCATGTTATAATTATATGGTTGAGCACACAAAAATAAATTTTACATCATACGATATTTGTATTTTAGGTGCAATATTTCTACCTGAAACCATTTATTACAAGAATTATTTGAGATATTTCTTTTAATGCAAAAATCCTATTGTCAACTTGAAATTATGTTTTACTATTTCATGGTAATGCAACAAATTTTTAGATTCTATTCTTGAAAATTGAACAGAATAAATTGAAATTAATCACACATATTCAATATATTACGAAAGCTATACCGCTTCATTTTCAAAAATATCTTAATTCTGTATTAAATAATTTTTTTTTATATAAAATAAATAATGTACAGTGTTGGATAGGAAGATAATTATTACATTATTTCAGCAACATAACAATATATGTACAAGATATATCCATTCTGAAGCTTTATTTTCTGCTTTGCTATGATCTATGTGATTACCATGTATATCACAACTTAATCTGTACATTGTTACGTTACAAAGTGTTTTCAAATAAACTCATTTCAATGAATTTTGTGTTATTTTAATTTTAGAATAAATATCATTTTTGTTATTCAAGAAATATTATACTTTTGTTTGCAAGTTATATCAACACATTGAGCAACAATTATTGAAAACTTCTGTAATCAATAACCTGTTCCTATCCTTAATACTTTTGGATAATCTAAAATACAACTTTTGAAAACCTCAGGCAAATAAATAAATTACTCTCTCGAGAAGCTAAAAGATACTGAGCCAATCATGTTAAAAGGGGCATCAGAAATTCCATGAAAGTCAAACCGAAAGCAACAAAAATTAGAAAAATTACATGGAACAGAGAAGACTGAAAGGTAGGAAAGTTGAGCTCTCACAACATGTTTAACCTGCCACATTCCTTATGTAGCTGTCCCAAGTCAGGAGCCTGTAGTTCAGTGGTTTTCGTTGGTTCATGTCTGTCATATTTGTTCTTTGCTAATTGTTATGTTATATATTAGGCCGTAGGTTTTCTTGTTTAAATTGTTTCACAATTTACATGTCAGGCCTTTTATATTCAACTATATGGTATGCAGGTTTTTCTCTATGTTGAAGGCTGTACAGTGGCCTATAATTGCTTATATCCACTTCATTTGAAGTCTGCTGGATGGTTGTCTTTTTGGCAATCATACCATATCCCCTTATTTCTATGTTATAATTAATGTTTTGAGGGAGTAATCTTAGATGCTCAAGAAGTTACCTCTCTGTATTTGACATTGGTACTTTTGCCAGTTTTCAATATTGGAATAAATGCTCTGCAGGGCACAGCTTGTTACAACCACAGAGGTCGAACCCTGAACAGTTGGGGCAAGTATGGACACAACATTCAATCTTAATACAGCTCTGAATTTGGATTGTGATTAAATATTTGACACATCATAGGTTTCTGACACAAAATAAATGTGGTCTAAGAACTTAAAAATTTGAAATTGGACATTTACCTATTATTGTCCAATTTCCAAAATCTAAATACATGGTTAGATTCAGCATATCAAAGAACCCCAAGAATTTAATTTTTGATGATATCAAACAAAGCTCAATTTTGGACCCTTTAAACCTTAATGTGGACCAGTTTGACAACTTGGACTAAAATCTAAATACACGGTTAGATTCAGCATATCAAAGAACCCCATATATTCAATTATTGTTGAAATCAAACAAAGTTTAATTTTGAACCAATTTAAAAACTGGGTACCAAAGAACTCCAAGAATTAATTTTTGTTGAAATCAAACTAAATTTAATTTTGGACCTTTGGACCTTAATGTGGACCAATTTGAAAACCAGGTCCAAAATCAAAAGCCTAAATACACAGATTCAGCATATCAAAGAACTCCAAGAATTCAATGTTTGATGTTATCAAAGAAAGTTTAATTTTGGACCCTTTGAACCTCAATGTGGACTATTTTAAAAACGGTGCCCTAAATCCAAAATCTAAATACACAGTTAGATTCACCATATAAAAGAACCCCAAGATTTAAAGAATTTGAATTAAACACCATTGAAATTGGTCAAGAAATAAGCAATTTACACAAAGTATTGATTTTGCCCTTTTTTGGTCCCAAATTTCTTAACAGATATGGGCCATAACCCCCAAAATCAATCCCAGCCTTCCTTTTTAGGTATGACACCTTTTGGTACAATTTCATAGAGATCCATACACTTATACTCAAGTTATTGTCTGGAAACAAAATGTTTTTTGAACGAGGATGAAGACAACATCCTCATACCATAATATGGCCGAGGTCATATGAATAGGTCATTATAAGTCTTTAATGCACTTATGGATTATGTGCATAAAACTCTTAAGGACCAATGCTTATTTAGATATGTTAAAACATATATGCAGCTGATGTGCTACCGTACTTAAAAAAAATATATCAACAATTTGGAAACTAAAATGATCACTTTATCCTCATCAATTTGTGCTCAACATTCAGCTGGAGCTAATTGATGTGTTTTTCCTTATAAAAAAATACCGGTATTTATATGGTAATATCTAACCGGAATAATTCAGTAGTTATATTTAGCTGCTCTGCAATGGCTACATTAACACCTGAATGCATAGACAATGAAAAATCTTCCATCAATCATTCAGAATTAGCTCGTGATTTACCTATCAAGTTAAAATTGAGCTGACTGCTGATTGGTCACCTTTGCCACAGGGCACCAATCAAAATCCAGGATTTGTGAAGAGTTTTAGTGTGTTAAGAATTCAGGCCCTCGCAAGTAGGATGGATCCATTGTGGGGAGGGACTGATTTATTCGGGTAAGGTAGCAGACCTGCCAACTATCCCGATTTATGGGGGATATCCCCCATGAGAGGTGTTGACCTGAATTTTGAAAATCTTTATTATATAAACTGAACACCTAAAAACAGGCATTCAAATTAGTTAAAAGGGTATCTAAGCACATACATACTCATTCAAACAATATACACGCTGATTAAAAACACTTATGACAATATAATAGGAGCATTAGCTCCTCTTGTGCTTAAAATCCCCCATGGAGATTTTGAAAAGTTGGCAGGTATGAGGTAGTATCGTAGAATGTTGGACCAAACTAGTCTGTATAACAAGTAAAATCCATAAATAGACATTTTACAAAGTTGTTGTTTTTGCATTTTTGCTCTTTCTAGTGATTACATCTTCAATTATAGTACAAACCTGACAAATTCTTTTGAATAGATAAAAAGTAGATTAATCTTTAAACATAATACTAAATATATTAGGTATATAAGTATATCAACATTCAATTTACAGGAAAACTTAATTGTCTGAGACAGCTTCTTTTTGGCGTGGCTCAGTATTTATACATCCCTTCATTGTGTTATTGTGCTATGGTCATTTTTTGTATTCATGTCTTTCATTTTTGCTTATGTGCTTTTTCTATGGAGTGTCTATATGAAATAATGTTTTTCTTTGTTGACATAGTTGTTTGTATTCATAGTGATTAAGATTATAACACAATGTTGACTGCTGTACCCCTATTTTTGACATTTTTACCTATTATGTCTGTTTGTTTTGCTCACACTTTGTTGTCAATTTAATGGAATTTTATGTGACTGTCATACAAGTGAGAGGTTTAGCTAGCTATAAAACCAGGTTTAATCCACCATTTTCTACATAAGAAAATGCCTGAACCAAGTCAGGAATATGACAATTGTTTTCCATTTGTTTGATGTGTTTGAGCTTTTGATTTTGCCATTTGATAAGGGACAATCCTTTTGAAATTTCCTTTGAGTTCGGTATTTTTGTTATTTTACATTTTTCTATTATATTTTTATTTTGCATTACCATATGGATGAATTCTGTTTCAAAAAGAACAAGATTACTATGTGTAAAGTATGGAGTTGTACAACAGGAACGTATGTTAAGCCTGGTTGTCGCTATCTAGTTAACTTGGTCGAAGTTTTCTTTGACCAGGTAAACATGGTCCAAGTCATCTGTTGTCACTATCAAAGTTTTTCATTAAAAACTTGGTCAAAGAAAAAACTGCACTGTGGTCTGATAATTCCCTTTGATGGTTGTCACTATAAAAAAAATCCATCAAAAACTTTGACCAAGAAAACTTGTATAAGAAAACTTTGATAGTGACAACCAGCCTTAATTATTATTATATTTACAAAATGTATTTCAAGCTTTTGTATTTGTTGCTGTTATTCTAGTCATTTCAAGGTAAATGTGGTGTTTTTGCAAAGTAAGGAATAGGCATTATACTGGATTTCTATTTATGAAATAAAAACTTGTTAATGAAAATCCCATTACTTATGTTAAAATGTTTAAATCAAAATAACTGTATAATATCTGTCAACTATACACAGGATGACAAACAATTCTAGAGGAGTTGCATTCACAAGGTATCACAGTGGTAAGATAATTTAGCTAAAGGCTAAAGTGAGCCTGTCACTCTGACTCAACTAGGTTCACTTTCCATCTTTAACAATGGACACTCTTCAAAATTGTGGACTAGAAAGAATTCATGACAAAAAACTTGTTTTAGTTGATCCTGTATTGCTGATATTTTTTTAATGTTTACTGTAACAGTTTCTCTCTATCTTCTTTAGTTTTTGCCCAAAACACAAT